CCAGAGAGATTATGAGCAAAATAGAAGTCATGATTCAAGACTGTAGAGCAGAAACTGACAAAAAAATAGATGAGCTCAAGACTATGATAGAAGCCATGAAGACTCAGCATAAGAAAGAAATGGAAACAATGAATGCCCAACAGAGGAAAGAAATGGAATCCATAAAACAGATTCAAACAGATATCCAGGAGATTAAAAACTCTATTGAAAGTGTACGCAACAGAATAAAAGATTGCAAAGATAGAATTTCAGATATAGAAGATAGGATAGCAGTCAGTGACCGTGAAAAAAGAGGTCTATTAAAAACAGTAAGGGATCATGAGAAATCAATCCAACAACTCCTAGACGATACAAAGAAAAATAACATAAGACTGATAGGAATTCATGAAAAAACAGGAGAAAACACAAATGATATAAAAAAGCTCTTCACAGAATTAATGACAGAAAACTTCCCAAACAGAAGGGAAGAATTAGACATACAGATAAGTGAGGCATATAGAACCCCAACTAGCCACGATAAAAAAAAATCTACACCTAGACATATAATAATCAAGATTCCAGAAATCCAACAGAAAAACAAAATACTACAAGCAGTAAGAGAAAAGAAACAAATCACATGCAAAGGGAAGCCCATTAGAATCACAGCAGACTTTTTCAACACAAACCCTTAGGTCAAGGAGAGCCTGGAGTGAGGTATTCCAAGTCCTAAAAGAAAAGAATCTCCAACCTAGACTTTTGTATCCTGCAAAACTCTCTTTCAAAATAGATGGGGAAATAAAATACTTCCACGACAAGGTGTTTGACATGGGGGAAGAGCCAGAAATTGCACAGCACCAGACTGGGTAAGTTGGTGAGGACATACTGTCATGTTTTTATTTGACAATTTGAATCGATTCAGGACATCCAGGTTGTCACGAGAAGACACTCATGAAAGGACTGCCAGAGCTGCTGCAGACATGGACAAGACCAGTGGGCTAAGTGTGTCTGAAATGAGGAGAAATATTTTGAGGGAGATGAATGGCATCATGTCTCTATGTATTTACTATATATTTTGGTCCTACCTCATAATACTGTAGTGACAGGTTACAGGACCCCTGCCATTCTGATCCCACAAATTTGGAAGTCAATATTCAGAAGAGGAATGAGCAGAACTGTATCTATGTTGAAAAGAGAATTTGCTAACCAAATTAATAGTGCAAAGAAGGCCCAGGGGAACCAGACACTGCTCTGAGGACAGACAGTTTAGGACACTGGGAACTATTAACTCCAAAATATTCATCAATGTGTAATTACAAAAGCTCTCATGAGCCCAGACTAAGGCTTTTATGTCCACACGTGCAGAATGCATGGCACCGGCTGGGCTCAGCTCAGTAGACAGTGCTTGTCTACCATGCATGAGGCCGGGGTTTGGTCTCCAGCACTGCAAACAACAATCTTCAAGATGAGTCCTCTAATCCTCACATGGCACCCACTTACCCTGTAATTCAGAATCATTTAATCATATTTATTACTGATCTTTATATGAAATGTCATAGTGTCCCTTGCTGCCATCATTTTCTATAATAGTTAGAACCTTTAATTCTCAGAAACAGCCATTCTTATTAAGCCTCACTACAGGAAGACAGACAAATGAGAAAATGGTTATGGCAACATTAGAAGTACAATAAAAAATAAATTTTTATCATCATCATCTTTAAAATAAAAAAGTCTCTGCTCTAAAGAAGAGAGACCACAGAAGCAGTGTTTAGGGTGTTACTTTCATGTGAGCTCGGATAATGGCTGTGGGTTCCTGGGGGCTTCTGTAAGCTTTCATGTGCCATCGAATCACGAGGGACCCTTGCTTCTTCCTCCCCCTGCCTTGTGACTCATCTCCCAGGTGTGGGCTGCAGGGCCCATGTAAAATGATCAAACACTAACTCAAACAGGACTGTCCTAGGAACAGCATGGACTATTTCTCAAAAACTTAAATCCTGATACACCTGGCCTTTCAATTTCGAGAGTTACGCCTTGGTACAGAATCTGACTACAAAACAGGCCAACTCTCACGCTGCCAGACCATTGGCCCAGGCATCGGGACACCACGAACTCCGCAGAAGAATGAGCTATAAAGAGAGCCCGGAGCCACGGGCGGAGGCCGAGCTATCCTCAGGAGTGGTCGCGCTCTGGTTCCCAGCTAGTTTACAGGATGGAATAAAAAGAAATGGCATCAAAGCCCTGAAAGCTTAATGAGAAGCCGCCACTGGGTCCCTTGGCACAGAAAAGTGTGCCAGCTTAGCGAACGGCTACACCGTGTCACCCGCGCGGCTCCGACGGAATCCAGCCTGAAAATGGCGGAAGGCTCGGCACTGAACGGGGGAGGACACAGAATGGCTGGGGACGCCGGGCGCGGCCTACCTCTGTCTGCACCATGTTCACTCTCCGCGAGCGCAGCTCCCGCACGCAGTTGTAGATGTCCACCACCCCTTCCCGCTCGGCCATGTCCAGCATGATGTCGATGACGATGAAGCAGCCGGTCCTCCCGGCACCCGCGCTGACGGAAAGGGGACTCTGTCAGTGTGGGGACCAGGGCCCTGCACACCCCTCCGTTCTCTTTTTGCAGCAGTACCGGGGATTGAACCCGGGGCCTTTGCACTGAGCTATATTCCCAGCCATCTTTCATTTTTTTTCATATTCAAGTCTGCATCATGTTTTAATCTGAGAGCGTTCTGGAAAGTTAAATACAGTGTACAAGAGCAGCTCATCACCCTGAGACAGGGTCTCATGAAGTTGCTGAGTTGCCCAGGCAGGGCTTGAACTTGAGATTGCCTGCCTCAGCCTCCCAGAGTGCTGGGATTATAGGCGCGTTGCACTCACTGGGTCCCAGTATATGCTTCCTCTTTTAAAAATTTTTACTAAGGTGGAATTCACAAAAGTGACCATTAAAGCACACACAGGCCAGGCATTCGGGGTGCTCCTGAAGTCACCCAGATCCGGACCTCTCATGGCCAGGAGCGCGGCTCACCTGCAGTGCACCACGAGGGGACCCGCGCTGGGCGGGCTCTTGGACTTGACCTGCCGCACGAATCCCAGCAGGCCAGTGGCGTGGTAGGGGACCCCGTGATCCGGCCAGCCCGTGAAGTGAAACTGTCTGATCTCTCGGATTTCATGGATACCTCGCTGTATTCCCCGGGCAGCCACAGCAAGAAGGGGACAAAGGAAAGAAAACGGTGAGCAAGAGCAGACCAGGAATGTGAAACACACCTGAGTAGTAAGCCCCAGGGCCCCAGCACCAGAACCCAGTGCACCTCAGGGGGTCCCACTCAGATCCAGCACAGTTAGGGCTTCCCAGGCTCTCATGCCAGCAAGACCTTGGTGGGTGGGGAAGGGGAGGTGATGTTTGGTTTTTTCTGTTTTTTGTTTTGAGACAGGGTCTCACTATGTAGTTAAGACTGACCTGAACTCACTATGTAGCCCAGGCTGGTCTTGAACTCACAGCAATCCTCCTGCCTCAGCCTCCTGAGTGCTAGGATTATAGGCATGCACCACCACGCCGGGCTCTGGGAGGTGATGTTTGGCTAAACACTAATGTGCACATGTAGGTCCTGTATACACATAGTTCCTGCAAACAAATCGATTTCTCTAGTTCTTTGAAATCCCCTTCTACAAAGCAGTCTACGGGAAAAGCTGCTCAAACCGGCTGCTGAAACACAGGACTCTTGCTTGTGCCCTCTGGGTCCTGGTCCCTCGGCACCAGGCCCTGAGCAGTGGACATACACTGTGTGTGAGCAGGATAAAGGGGTGAGGATGACTTTCCAGCAGATGGGCAGGGAACTCATTTCCCCATGCAGCTCAGCTTGCCAGGGTCCCTCTGGTTGGCTCACGACCCTTCACTGGAGCACCAGGTGGGAGGCGGAGCTACATGGCCGGGTGCGTGGGGACAGGTGCTCCGCTGGACCTCTAAGGAGAGCAGGACCCAGACAGTGTGTGGACAGAGGAGGCCCCGGCTCTATGCTGTGCTGGTATTTTAACTGACTCTTGAGAATAATTACATAGACTTATTCCCAGCAGTTTTATTTTCTAAGACTATGTTTTAAGAAAAAAGTCTTGTTTGGAAAACAAAAATTGCACCCTAAGCCACAGCTGTGCGTAAATCTACGATCAAATATCACTTTCTCTGTTTCTTGCTGGAGAACCATTGACTGAACACCGCATTAGGTCTTGGCTTTGGTTTTTGATTCTATCTTAAAGCCAAACACACGTTAACGTTATCATGTTCCCCATCAATCATTGTTCACAGGTATTTAGAGAACAAAGAACAAATTTAGACTTTTTATGTGCTTGGAAAGAAGTGGAGGGTGTAGATTTTAAGATAGGATTCACATGCTATGGATGCGTCTTAGTTTTATAACCCACGAATGCTGAAGTTTTATTTTTCTGTGGAAGTGCTATCTAATACTAGGGTTTAGGCAGTCAGGAATTAAGCAATCAAGGATTCACAGTATACAGTGACACTGTCATCTGCTAAATAGGCTCAGTGATCCCAGAGTAACACTGCCCTGTAATTAGAGCCAAATTTCTTACAGCTGAGAAGCGGTAAGACTGGGCTGACCACAAATTACCACCAGAAGACACACAGTTGACCCTTGCGCTTTAGGTACAGCGACTTGGGCAGGGCAGGTCCTGACAGGATGGGGGACACCCCAGGAACTGGGAAAGCTTGTCCGTAGGGCATTTCTTTCCCTGCTAGACTTCAGCCCAGCATATCCAAGTCCCGAGTCCATCATGGGTTCCAAAATGATCTCGGATTCATTTTCCTGAGCAAGGTAAATGTCAGTTTCTGGAATACAGAAAAATCTCCCAGGATAAATCTCCATCTTCAATATGTCCATTATTGACGAGATAAGCAAAGGAAGTCACTTCTGATCCAACTTTCATTCTTGCTCATGGATACCAGCCTCTCCTCGGCTGTTTGATAAGATATTTGGAGAAGAAGCCATATAGGTAATCAGCAACTGCAGCCCAAATACTTCCCAAACGCATGTCAATTATATTCTTCTTTAGTTTTCATGAAAGAGGCATCAGTGCTGTGCACATCAGTAACAGGCATTTAATTTTTCCATCAATGGGAAGGAGAAGCCATGTCATGTGGCAGGAAAGCGGGTGTTTGGCGGAGTGGCTGAATCACTAAGTGAACTTCTGTGTTTGAGACGGGATCCCATTTTCATGACTCTGTCTGAGTCCTAGGCCCCTCTTGGGGAGAGAGAATTCAGGGGTCATGCCCAGGCCAGGCTGGGACAGTCACCGGATGGCCCAGGTCCGTGCACCACCGGTGCAGAACATCACACAGAGCAGTGGAAGGCGGAAAGGCAAGGTGAGCGCCAGACGTAGAACAACGCGGCATGCGGCAGCTTCTAACTGCAACTGGGTGCTTGTTTTGCAGAGAAGACCGAGATCCATTTCTCACCTCTAGGTGTCTTGTTACAACACGCTCTCAAAATAGAACAGAATTGGAGGGATCTCCAAGTACATGCCTAAACACTTTTCTCCTTTCTGTTTTAATGAGAAAGTTTCCTACCTACAAGAACTGTTCTACAGAGACTCAATTAATTGTTTTCCTAAAGATTCCAAGTGCCCTGTTAGAAAATCACTAACATGTCATTCTGATTTCCCCAAAGGCACTCACAGCTCCCCTTGCTTCCCACCTCTTCGTGGGTTGTCTGATGACTAAAATAACGGGGTGTTTCGCAAATATTTCTGTGCAGCTGGGAATGCAGCAGAGTATAATAAGAGGTTAAAAAAAAGAGCAAAGAAACAAACAATCCCTTCCTTTAGCAACAGAGCTGCACTCCCAGCAATAATAAAGAGAGCAGACTACTGTTCAAAGAATTCCATGTTTAAGTGATGGCTTAAGAAAAAAATATCGAGGGTCTTTTACTGCGGTCTGTTTTAATGCAGTTATTCATGAGTGTTCTTGCCAAGAGCCATACAAAAATCCTCCGTGTGTTTTTTTTCCCCAGTTCTGCCTACAAGGGAAAAAAATCGACATCAAAGTGTGAGGTTCAAAATTTGAAGAATCGAGTCAACCAGAACCTCACATCTTTGAAGTCTCCAAGCTTTCTGCCTGCTTATTAAAAATGACAGGCGAAGGGAAAAATGCTAAAGAGTATGAGAAACAGATGAAAATAAGCCAAAGTGACTCTATGACAAATTTGGCTGTGCAAACCAGGAACAATAGTTCAAATCATCAGGGCAAATCAGCCAATAAGCAGATGCTATAATTTCCTGGCTTTCCCGAAACTGGCCTTGTGAATCCAAAAAGTGCATCTGGATGCACTGGGAATGCAGAGAGCCAAGGAGGGCCAAGGGCCAGGCCCGGCAGTCTGCTTCCAGCCCAGGTCCTGCGAGGGCACCTGCCACCCTTACGTGAGTGTACACCGCAGACACAGCACGGCCGAGGGCGGGTGGCTGCGTATGGCTCTGACGGGAATGGGCTCTTGGCAGAAGAGTCCATGGGCCTCTGAAGGGTTCCTTGGCCACATCACCTCCTCCCTCCCGCGCCTACCTGTGACACTTCCCGGGATGGACTGCAGTTTGCTTCACCTCCGGCCCCTCCCTATGTCGGCAGAAAGGGGGGATAAGGAGAGCCCCCGTTACGCCACACAGTGCTTCCCAGGGAACCCGTCCATGCACATGGACGGAGGCAGGAAGAACGAAAGCACGGCGGTCCCCATCCCCACACCGCCACGGCAGGGGCTGATGTCACCGTGGCAGTGAGATGAAGGCGGGCAGGCCATGCAAGGCTGTCCCGTGTTCCTGGTCAGTGGCCACGTGGTTTTCCAGGTAGGCTGCGTCTACCTGGAAAACCCATCCATCCTCACTGAAGGGAGGCCTGGGAATGGCTTGCTGGAGCGATGGATCCCAGGTGGTGTTAGGAGCTGTGTCTCCACTCCAATCCCAGGTCACTGCTGGGAAGCCCACAGGGCCTTCCACACAGAGGAGACTATCAGACTGGAAGGGCAGGTGTCACCCCCAACAGACTGTGCCCTGCGCACAGAGATGGGCCGGAAAGTACCAAGTGGGGTAAGAACAGACACAGAAATGGACACTGTCTTTCGTTTTAGTTGCAAAAATATGCATCGTTATGAGATGGGCATGACTGACTCAGAGATGGACCTGAGCTGCTATAGACTCAGCGGGCAAGATGCGACCTCGAGAAACCACCAGACAAAGCCCACTGCACCTGCGGGACCATGGATCAGTTGCCCAGGATAATTCATGAGGTCAGCGCATTCCCATGCTGGCTTTAAAACTTACCTTCTCCACTGCGAATGTCCTGATCACGTATTCTGCCAGCAGCTCTGTTTCTATCAGGGTAACCTTAATGTCTTTGTATATTTCTGTATCATCTGGCCAGTATTTGCAGCATTTGACCTTAGAAAAGAGAGGAAAATTATGGCTTTAGTTTTCTTTAGTTCCCCTAATGATGGGAGACACTACGATTTCTAGGTTGAAGCTGGCTCACAGAACCCAAAGTGAGCCATACACTGAAGAGCAGGTCTGTTTTTCCATCTTCTACTTTAATTCCAGAAGGAAAGAAAATGTGAATCATGGGAGCAGTGAAGTTTAGGAAAATGGTCTAAAGTTGACAAACTGTACTGTACTACAAGCATCTCAATTACAGTAACTATTCATTTCCTATGTGCCTCTCCTCAGGGAATGGCTGGGAAAAATTATAAAAGGAAATTTGCAATATTTTCACACCTCAATTGTATATTCTTCCTGATTTCACAAAGTCATTGAAGATTTCTGAGAGCAGAGCAGAAAACCAGAATTGACACTAAAGATCAAAGTTCTTTTTCTTTTTTCTTCCTGAAGAAAGAAGTAGCTGTGGTTTTCCCACGTTAGAACCACAAAGTCATTTTAACAAGCAAAATTCAAGAACGAAACTTGACAAAATAGGAACACAGTCTTTGCATATACTGTGCTTGTAGTACAATACAATGTTAACTTTAGACCATTTTCCTAAACTTCACTGCTCCCATGATTCACATTTGCTTTCCTTCTGGAATTAAAACAAAGTAGAAGATGGAAAAACATAGACCTGGCTCTTCAGTATATGGCTCACTTTGCAACCTCTGACATGAGCATTTCTGGGCAGAAGAAAATGTTACCCTGAGGTGAGGAGGTCCCAGAGGTGGAGCCTGGGAGGGGCCCCCTGGTAGCTTCACCCTGACCTGTCCAGTCCATTCTGGAACTCCACTGAGCACCCTATCATGGCGTCTTCCCCGTGAAGGTCCTGCCAGCTCCTCTCAGGCCAGGCGCCTACAGTGTCTCTGTTCACACTCATCATGCTTGCTCCCTTCTTTGTAAGTGTCATATGATTTCCACCCCTTATAGTCACGGGTGGGCCTGTTCTCACCCTGGGAGTCTCGTTTGTTTTATTTTTCAGTACAGGAACAATATCTGTGACTTTATAAAGGGTGTATCCATAACATCTCAGAAATTTACACCATGAATATGGGTTCAGTCCTAAAGTCTTCCCCAGGAGGAGAGCCATAAACCTCTCCTTTCCTGTTAAGTAAGTTCAAGAAGCTTCTGTGTATGTGTGGCGACGTCTAACTTGACAGCAACCACAATTCACGCAGAATGCCTAGCATTAAACTCTCACAAGGCTAATTCATTAACACGGACATGTCCGTGGTACTTGCTGGATCCTTGTCTGTTCGGGGTCTTGCTTTGAGTATTCCTAAGTTTGGAGAAGAAGGTAATGGATAGAACTCTGGATACAGTGTGTACGGGCACTTTTACAATAACCACACAAGTAAACCACTCATGCCTTTCTCTCTAAACCACAAATGAACCAATTGTACATCCCCACCTGCAAGCTATGTTCTACTCTGGCTACTTTACCTAATAAAAATACCTTAGGAAGTGGTAGTATCCTAAGTACGAAGAAATAAAAGCATTCTGAGATAAAGGAAAATTAAAAGAACCTTAATATTTTTGCCCACAAACCTGCTCTGAATTATCTGCTTAAAGGAACTTTTCAGACAGAAGAGGTATTATATAGAAGAAATCTTGAAATCCCAGGAATGAGGAAGAGCAACAGCTAAGCAAATACATGACTGTCCTCATCTTGAGGACAAGAAGTCTATTGATGCAAAAATTTTAACAGTTAGACAAAGTTTTAAGTCTGTGCAGATATAATGCATACCTACAAAATAAAAGGTAGAGAATAAAGGGACTGTACATAAGGTTCTACTTTGAAAAAAATACTTAGGTATCAGGTCACCAGGTCTTCTATGTCACCTTACCCTCCATGCCCTGTTTTTTTTTTTTTTTTTTTTTTCTCTTCAATAAACACGAGTGCAGAGTGCTTCAGTGCCATGGAACTTGAGAAATAAAAAAATCTCTTTTACATTGTTGGAGGGTGGTGTGGAAATCAGTATGGAGAGTCCTTAAAAAGCTAAAACGAGACATTCCATTCCACCCAGCTCTTCTCCTAGGTGTCTTCCCAGAAGCATTAAAGACAGTGTATTACAAGGATACGCACACACTCACGTTTATAGCAGCACAACTCATAATAGCTAACCTTTGCAAGGAGCCTGTATGTCCATCAACAGATGATAAAGAAAATGCATTTATACACTACTTTTCTGTAACAAGGATAAATTGGAGTCAATTGTAAGAAAATACATGTACCCTGAGATACTATTATTAAATGGAATAAATGAGACACACAAGTTTAAATACTGTCCAGTTTCGCTTACGTGAGAAGCCCAAGATGTAAATAAAGAGCAAATTAAGGAAATGAAATGAGGAGATAGATCTTTTGCAAATGGGAAGGAGACCAAGGGATGGAGGGACGGAGAAGGGCGGTAAGGAGAATTCAGACGTGTTGTGTACGCGCACTGGTTCCCCACCAGGAAAGTGCTCCTTACGGACTGCTAGCGCGTACTGACAAACAAGCCCTGAAAGTCAAGGGGTTGCCCTGCATGCGTCGCGGGCTGCTCCTCTGTGGGGATGGTTCACTCTCCAGCCTGACCACGCTGGTGCCGTGCGATTGAGCCTGGCGTGGTACCGGGGGCTGGGGCTTCCAGGTGCAGGGGTCCTCCTGATTTCTGGGTGCTGCAGGGTCCGGGGGAGCGTGTGGAGCATAGGGTGCTTCCTTCCAGGGTGCAGCTGGCAGGGCCAAGAAGCCGACTGGATTGCGGTCCTCCCCGTAGCATCACTCAGAATATCCCGAAATGCTTTGCTACATCTGTTTGCAGCCTCCTAAAATCTCTCCTCAACTGGGTTCTTTTCCAGTCCCTTTCAATCTGTTTGGATTCCTGTCAGGTTAGTATTTTGCCTTTAAAACAATGAAAAGAGAAAGTATGCTTCCTCCTCTCCCCTGTGAAGCCTTTGCACGTCACAGCATCCTCCAGCTGCACACAGCATACTGCTGCCCACCACCCGCACAGCTTCCAGCTCGGGCTCTGCGCCTGCATCCTGAGCACGCTGGGCAACAGCTTCCAGCTGGAGGCAAGGAGCAGGACGGCCTAATCACCCTGGTTCCCGACCAGCTCCACCCGGCCATCAATCACACCAAGGTGCTTTGTAGCCGCCTGTTCATTACCGCATGAGGGCTGTGGGAGGCGCCTGGTCTCTGCTCCAAAGGGGTCCAGTTTGGCTTTCAAATTCACCAACGTGAAGCCAGCCAAAGGCAGTGTAACTCCAGGACTTCCGACTCACTGAAACAATTCCTGGAGTCCTTTCTTCTTCCTGGTACAGAAGACAGAATCCAGGGCCTTTCCACTGAGCTACATTCCCAACCCTCAGGGTCTTGCTAAGTCTCTAAGTTGCCCAGGCTGGGCTAGAACTTGTAATCCCCCTGCTTCAGCCTTGCAGACTGCTGGGATCACAGGCGTGTGCCAGGACTTACTTAAGCAGATGCCCAGTGACCCCCCCAGGCATGGTGAAATCACACCACTGGGGGCCAGGCTGCTCTCCCAGACTGGTGGCATATTACCTTGGCCTTCAGGGCATCCTGACACAGTGACAGCAGCAGCTCTGAGGGTCTGAAAGTCATCCGCAACCTTTGGAGGGTTTCTCCAAATGTGGCAGGTCTGCAGCGGTGGGCAGGAGACTTTGCATTTGGAGTCAGCTCCTAGGGATGCTGTGGTCTGTGGTCCACACCGAGCCGCAGGATGAGGCCACACTGCGCTGTGCGGAGCCCGGCAGGGCAAGAGGGCAAGCAGATGCAGGTAGTAGGTTGGGGAGGTCTCTCTCTGCTCCCGATGTTAGGAGGGGACAGTCACAGTTCCCATGCCAGTGTGTTCTGAGCGGAACCAGTGCTTCCCGAATTGCCTGTAGGCTAGAATGACTCTGGGGGACTGTCTAGCCCAAATCCAAAGTCCAGACCACATGCCAGGCCAAGTGGGGTGGGATAGAGAGAGCCCCTTCCCCGGTTTCCTGACGCTCCCAGAGACTCTCAGTGCGGATGAGTTTGGGAAGCACTGGGCTCAGGGATGTGGAGCAGTGCGACATCAGCCACGTGTGGCGCATGCCACGAGCTCACAAATATTGTCCTATTCTTAAGTGATCATTTTGTGATCTGCACCCTGGAAGAATTTGAGGGCAAGGAGCCTACTGAGGGCCAGGAGAGGGGAAGAGGTGGGAAGAGCTAAGCACTGGACACTGTGCAGTGCTCACAACAGTGGAGGGAAACAAGAAGCTGAGGGAGAGGCTGGCACGTCGATTCTCCCATTAGCATGCTCTGGAGAGTTCTCAATACAAAATCGCAAACAGGAGCAGCGGACACTCAACTCCAACAGAGCCGGGGTCACAGAGAGTCTCCAGACCCACATTTTCAAGGTCATCACAACACCCAACACATGGCCTCTCCTGCTTTGGATCTGAGGCAGTAGATGGCCCCATGCAGCAGTGGACAAGGGATGTGCAAAGGCCAGGGCTGCCCTCCATCCTCCTTATTCCTGCTCTAGCATGCAGAACTGGAAGGCAGGCCCAGGGAGGCCGAGCCTGTGGCTCAAGGTCATGGGTTCCATGTTGGTGGGGGAGAGGCTGCTGCTAGACTCTGACTCCAACTGCAGGGCTGAGCGGGTGGGTGGGACTTCAAGGCAAACGATGCCGCCTTTGGTCTTGCTAGGAGATTCCAATTTCAGGAGGAGATGTCAAGTGGGAAGTCTGAAAGCCTTCGTCTCCATGCCTTGGTCACCAGCTGCTGATTTCAACAGGTGCCTCTGTGAAGCCAGGAGTGGAATGCGGTCCATGGAGGGCCACCATGCAGGGCAAAGGACTTGTTTAGCTGAGCAACCCCGTGATTAATAAGGGCAGAGAAGCTGAGAGTTAGCAGGGCACTGTAGTGTGATCCACTGATCATAGCTTTAGGGGACACACGGAAAAGAAAAGGGGGCTTATCAATTTTGACT